CAACAACAACAACAACAACAACAACAACAACAACAACAACAACAACAGTCAATGCTACCACAGCTGTCGCAAATGAATACGTTACTTGGTGCTGCATCATTAGCCGCTCAAGGCCAACAACGTTATGTATCGTTACCTAAAATAAATGCGGCAACACAGCAGATATTTTCTCTAAACAGCGAAACGAATCAAATCACTCCCATTAGTCCGACGCAGACTGCTGCATCAATTGGCCCCACCGAACGTCTGCTGATCGCGCCAGCCGGCATCAATGCTCAGCAATTAGCACAGTGCCTGCAGCTGGGTCAAATACATTTCAACGATGTGAATCCGTTGCCACCCAGCACTCAGCCGCAACCCACGATGATGGCCATGAATCCGACACTGGCCATTAATCAGCAAGCAATGCAACAACAACAGCAACGCTTACAGCCGCCGCAGCAGCAAATAGTACACCCGCAACCCATCCAACCCCTAAGTAGTATAGCAAGCAGCGTCAACACTAATAGCACTAATGCAACTACAAATACGGTTACTAAGCAAGTGGCCAACGTGGCGCCCATTATTGATCAGAGTAAAGCCAAGTTGGAGCCGACAAAAGTTGTAGCGCCAACAGGTGCCGTCGCAAAGAAGAAGCCAGTACGTAAGCCGAAGGCTACCACTACAGCTGCCGATGTAGCCAGTGGCACTGCAGGCATAAAAAATGCGAGCGTCGTTAAGCCAATGCCAAAATTGGATCCGCTGTCGCAGAAGCCGAACAATAACCCCGTACAGATCGTGCAGCCGAATGTAGCCAGTGGCAAGCAAGTAGTCGCCGCAGGTGCTCCCGGTAATTTAACGACAGCAGGCAACAACAGCATACAACCCTTTCAGTCAATGCAACAAACGACGAAATTGATTGGCGTAACGGCGCCCATGCAACAGCTGGTCGCCTCTGGAGCGAGCTCACAGCAACAGCAGCAGCAGCAGCAACAACAACAGCAACAACCAACAAGCAGTGCACCAATGATGCTGCAGTCTCCAAATGTTCGCGGCTTTGTTAGCAGTGCAAGCATTACTGTTGGCTCAACTACAGCAACCAGCACCAGCGGCATGGGTACCAGCAGTAGCGCGGTTACAAGTAGTAGCGCGGTTACAAGCAGCAGCATGATGATGACGTCATCGTCGACGACTCTGACGCCTAGTTTTAGCAATAACGCACCGCCGTCTCTTTCGGCTCTGAACTCGTCTAGCAATGCAAGCGCAACACCACAGCAACCGCAGCAGCAGCAGGCAGCACAGCAGACTCAGCAACAACACACAGTGTCGCGTGTACAAACAATTCAGCTGACGGCGCAACAGCAGCAGATGTTTAAGCAAGTGCAAATGCAAATCCAATTTCTGACTATTAAGTTGCAGCATAAATCGTTGCTGAACTCACTGCCATTGCCGCCCGATTTTGACCCAGCCATCATAGCTGCATATGCCAAACCTATGAGCGATCCTGAGATAAATGTGGCACTGCAACGTCTGTATACAGAGCAGCAGCGCATATTGGCCGCTGGCAAGGAAATGCCTACGCCCGAAGCCTATCTTCAAATGCCTTCGATGGGCAATGGCGCAGGCATTACACTAATGACGCAGCCGACACTGATGCAACAACAGCATGTAGGAGTAAGTAAAGCAAATACAACGGGCATACCGGCGAATGTCGTACAACCTAATAACCACTCATCTACCGTGACCAATGCGATGGGCAGTGCTACAGCTGGTCAGCAGCTGCAGTCGCAGACACAGCCGCAGGCGCAGGCCGGAGTAACGCATCGAATTCACATATATCCGATGCAACATCACCAAACAGTGCAGCAAAATAAACAACAACAACAACAACAACAACAGTCCAAGTCGCAGCAAACACCAACAACTTCGCGTGGCAAAGACAACGCTAACACCGGTGGAAGGGGATGCAAAACGCCAACACCCAACTTGCAGCAAATAGCGCAGAATTGCAACAGCAATAGCACGTTGGTGCCCTTGAGCACACAGAAGCAGCAGCCAACACTGGTGCCAACAACAAAAGCGCCTGCTTTACACTATCAGCAGCAACAAACGCAGCAACAGCAATTCATGCTACAAAAGCCAGTTCTAGTGAGCAACATCAACAGCAGTAGTGCAAGTCTCATGAACGGACCTCCGCCCCTAGTTTTCTCTAATCCGTTGATTGCTGCCGCAGCCGCAACAACAAGCAGCGCTACGCTTTTCACATCTGGCCAAAATGGTTTCTTGCATGCCTTCTCGCAAGCGCCCGCCAGCAGCCTATCCACAATAACGACCACCGCAGCACCAGCCAACACAGTTACAAGCTCAAGCAGCGCTATCAATACCACGACAACTGCAACCGTAACTTCAACTGCAGCAACAGCAACATCAACATCAGCATCAACGTCTAATTCTAATAGTGCTGTCTGCACGAGCATATCTGCTGACACAACCGCCAGCACAACGATTACCACAACAACAACTGCGGTAGGTGCTGCCGTAACGGCAACCGAAAGTACGCCACCATTGGATACTCAAGCGCCACTTCAACTGCCGAGAAGTAATGCATCGTACGTGTCTGGCAGCAGCAACACCACCACCAGCACCACCACTACCCCCACAATGTCCGCCACTACACTGGGCATGCATATGATCAAATCAGAAGAGAACATGGCGCCACAACCGAAACTCGCACGTCTTTCTTTGTGAGTAGTTGGTTGAAAATGCGCGATACTCAACACAACTTTCGCTTTTCGACTTTTATAATTTGATCTTTTGCACGATTTTTATTGTATAAATGGTCCTATATATAACTATATGTGTTTTCAGATTTTTACGTCAATTGGAGTTGGATCAGCAGGCGTGCTTAAAACCTGACTACCTCAATCCCTTTCAGGACAAAGAGGAGGCCGTAAAACGGTTAATAAGGTGGGCTGCACGCTAATTCACTTTTATTTATTTTTATTTTTTAATTATAACAAATGCTGCTCACTTAGGTATCATTGCATGTATGAGAGTGTTGAGGATCTAACATTTGAGGATGAAGAGCGTTTCGAGCAGACGGCGATGCAATATCAGGAAAAATATCACAAAATTTCAACCAAATACCAAAAGATCTTGCTGCAGGAGTCAACGGTGAGTGACCTATATCTTTACATATTCTACATGTATAATTACAATTTTAGAACGCTCCAATAAAATCAAATTACAAACAGATTAGGCTTCAGAAGTGACGTTTTTTTGAAATCTTGCATTAAGGTTTGGTAAACCATCTCTTGCTCAGAAAATCAGAGCACTCATCATTAAAGTGGATAGGGTCAGTAGGCAGGGCCGCCGAGAGAAAATGCGGGCGCGGTACTAAATCTTAGTGCTCCAAAATTGTTGTACCCATATTAAAATATTGGCTGTCGAAACAATTACTTTCTGGTAAATAATAAAGGAGATTCAATTTCATATATTTTACTGCTTTGAGAAAATTACAGTTGGCCATTATTCTAACAAGTTTATCTTTGATCAAGCCGATAATAATGGGGCTTCCTCCACCGGAACCGAAAACTGAATGATAAGCGACATATGATTAGAAAATGTTTTCTTGTTAATAGCGCTCTTACAAGTTATGTATTTGCATATCGAGGGCGTATATTCAATACTCTCTATCTATCTATAAAAACTTTATAATAGGTTTGTTCCACAAGCTACTCGAAGTCACTTCGAGTTACACATACGCGTTTCACAAGTAAGTTTTAGAGTTTATTTGATATACGCTGACAAGTAGCTTGTGGAACAAACCTAATATTTAGTCTAGCAAGTAAGCTTAATCTTACATTATGTCAGTACTGCTTAAAAGTAAGTTTATTGTCAAAAATTATTCCCAGTATTTTCAATATGTCAGTTTAGTGGATAGGGATGTCATACACGGAGAGGGTTGGATGTATACATTTGTGTCTTTTGCATATGTACGATTGCGGCAAGTCCTTAGTCTTAGAAAAAAATATAATGAAGCTAACTTTCCCAAAGGCTATATTGAATAAAATAACCGAAAATGGTGATCCATGTGGGGCAACATTAAAGAGAGGAACAGTTTTTGAATAACACCCGAACCCGAACAGCGAACTTCCAGTTGCAAAGGAAAGACTTAACAATATTGTACATCCTCTCACCATTTCTCCAGCGTAATAATTTAGATATGCAGGGGAGGGGGGAAATGGGAGAAACTAATGAATTGTTTCTATTTAGTTTGGCAATAGAAATAATAATAGCAGTTTTTCACTCTTGGTGACCCTTGAGATAGAATGGAGTAATGGAGTTTAATGGCTCTATGTGGAAATATAAGAGTTTATTGCTGTATCAAGTTTGGTTTCGGTTGGGCAGATATATCGCATTAGGTAGAACTATTTATTTCGGTTGGGCAGATATATCGCATTAGGTAGAACTATTTTAGCCTGGGCAAAACTAGTTTGACCTAAGATCGGATTTTACAGGCAACATATACATACATACACAGGCACATGTAACTTACCTGCCACAAAAAATGTTAATCATGTTTTCCAGCAAAATTGTGTAGATAGAGGATTTTGCTCTTATAACAAAATGTTGCACATAGTCGAATTTTCAAAATGAGAACATAATACCATTACAGCTATATTTTAAGTTTAACATTATTCATGGCTGAAAGATTAATGGGAGCTCACGTTACAATCAAAAACTCATTTTGATCAAAATTGCAGATAGAGGGTATTGAATATAAGACCTCGCTATGTAAATCCTACTATGCCGATGCGTTCCCATATATGATACATACGAGTGCATGTAAAAAAGTAACGTTTAAGTTATAAATAAACAGAATAAGGTCAAACGAGGATAGAGCGTATACTATAAAAGAGCATTCAGCATGCACAAAAACCTGAGCGTTTGTATATCGTCTGATATTCTTCCTTTAAAAATAACTAACTGTCTGTCAGTACGAGTGAAGTTCAGTTTCAATACGAAATCGACCCATAATTTGATGGCTTTAATAAACACTTGGAACATGCAAATAAATGGTGGGTGCCTTTTGAAAAATTCTTAGAACACAAACTGTCGTGTAACGTTAATCCCACGTAAAACTGATACTTGAAATGCTGAAACAAACCAGATATTATAATTAATTAATTATAAATATTATTTTTCCTTGCAGTTAGCTCATCGTACATCCGAAACTTGTCAAATACAACAATTAATGATTGATGATCTGAGGACGGAAATGGAGCATTTACGAAATTCGGAGCGTGAGCAAGCATTGTATGAGCAGCAATTGCACCAACAACAACAACAAAAAGATCTGCCGGAGCGCGAGCAATTCGAACAAAATGTTGATCAATTGCCGTCAGTCGAAATGCAGGAAGTAAAGCAGGAACTCAAAGCTGTAAAAGACGAACTGCAGATAGGCGGTGCTAAGATAAGCGTAAACATTGACACTGCACTTAAAACACTTGAAATTAAAACTGAGCCTGGTGACAATAGCAGTAGCAACGCCCATTCAGGTTGCAAGGAAAACAAAGAAGCAGCTCCATCATCGCCAGCTGTAGATAAATTTGACTTTTTAAAGCAAAGTATAGCTAATAACTCACCAACTAATGACGGCAACAAGCAACAGCATATGCTGCAGAATCAGAATTTGGAGCAGCAGGAGCATAAACAAAACGAATTACTACCGAAAAAGGAAGAGAAACCCAGTTGGCATAGTGCAGTGACAGCGACACCCGCATCGTTTGAAAATTCGAATTCTGATTCAGTCGAGTCAAATGTGGGCAATGGCAAATTACCGGCATCCAATTTCTATCCGTCCAGTAAAAAGCAGCTGAATGGCACTATTAAGCGAGATACGGCGCCCCTAACTGCTCCGTGTACTTATATCAAGAAGGAGTTTGAAAATTTCGATATTGAATCAGAAATAACACCGAGTTTTATTATGAAAAAAGTAGAACATAAAGATGTGCTGTCGTCACCACCACCAACGCAGCTGAATACCGCCAAAATGCACTACAAGCAAGCCAGGGAAAAGACCGAGCGCAATAATGCGCATGATCAGCAGCAACAACAGCAACAGCCAAGGGTAGCGACAAGTGCGCCAGCGGGTAATAGTTTTGCTGCACAATATTTGCAACACAATTCGAAGCAACAACAGTTACAGCAGCAACAGCAACATCAACAGCAGCAGTTTAAGCAGCAGCAACAGCAATTGAAGCATCACCAGCAGCAGCAGCAGCAGCAGCAACAACAACAACAACAACAACAAGAAGACGATTGGCTATGCTTGCAGAAAGAGTTAAATCTTATCAACACCGAAAATAAAATGCCATTGCAGCATTTGAATAATCTGCAGCAACAGCAGCAGCAGTCACAGCCTATGAAGTCGCTCAATCTCTTTGAGCGCTCGCCCAGCAATGATAGCGGCAGCAGCATGGGCACAGTTAGCAGCGGACAATCTGGTCACTTAATAGATCTCTTTCCAAATGGTTGTATAAACAAGAACACCCAATTGAGCCCCAGTAGTAGTGACTCCACCCAACACCATGAACAGCAGCAACAGCAACAAAACTGTGATCAAGGCGTGCAGCCTACCAGTGACCACCACCAAAACCACCAACAAGAGCAAGATTCACATAACCATATGCAGTCAACACTCAACGAATTCTTCGACTCCGGTGACGACATGGCAGATGTACATAAGTCGGTAGAGACGCGCCTGGAGGCCATGTTCGGCGAGTCTCCTGTTCATTTGAGCAAAAGTGGCGGAAGCGATTCGCAAGACATTGAAGCTGGACTAGATGAGATTTTCGGCGATGACAAATCAAACGATAGCAACACCGACTCTAATTCGAAGCAGCAGCAACAACGTCTGTGGGATAGTGAGCTTTCTGCAGCGAATAATTTTATGCGAGTCACAAACACCCAAGAGGGTGGGCTATTTGGAAATGAGCAGCAGCAAATGCAACTCAATCAGCAACACTTGCAACAAAGCTTGCAATTAAATATCACTAACAGTTCAACACGTTGGATGCAAAACATCGATGCTCCATTTGGCGAATTCATAGCCAACTCCACCAATGACTGCTCTGAGTCACGTAAAAGGCGTTGGAATGCTGAATTAATGTCGCCCGATGCGGACGATACTCTCGATGGTGCAAAGAAAATGTGCCCAATGTCTGGTTCCTCGAGCTCATCATCGCCTATATCAGCACAGCAGCAGCAGCAGCAACACCAGCAAACCCAACAACATCACGAAAGTATTATGGAGGCTGATCTACTGTCGCTACATGATGGCATACGTGTGGAGCCTGCTGCAGCACAAATGTTGCAAATGTCTGCTCAGCAGCAAGCTGTCTTCTGCCAAACACAGCAGCAGTTCAGTAATTTATTGGATGGTGTAGATCACCATCAACAACATTTTACTAGCGCACAACACCAACAGCAGCAGCAATCTCACCTTCAGCATAGCCATCACCATCTTAACCATCAACTTCACACACACTTACAAACGCATATGCAAAGCAATCATATCGGCGGAGGCGACTTTGATGATGACATAAGTCGGCATGTGCAGAATGCCATTGACAGCATTTTGAATTTGCAAAACAGTGAATCAGCAGACTCGCTCAACTTCTCGTTAGATCATTCGATGGGCTCGTTGCTCGGCGACAGCATACTTGACGATAGACAACAACAACAAACGACGGTAAATTGCCAAGATGGCGTTAAACGAAGACACCATCACCTTGTCGACGAATTGGGCGATTGTCTGATCAGCGGTGGCGGCAGTGGAGCAGCAGCAGGAGACAACGCAAGCACCATACTTTTGGATAGCACTCAAAATCACCATGCACAACAACAACAGCAAGCACTGCTAAATCAAAACCATCACCAGGGAATGCAGCAAAACAATCATCAACAACAAACGCAACACTTGCATCAGCAGCAACAATCGATGTTAAGTAACGATTTCGGCTGCGTTGCAGCTGGTCTCGTCGACGAAGCGGTCAAATCGATAATGACATCCTGACAACTTACTGCAGCGGATCAGCAGCAGAATCAACAACAACTGCAAGCGCTCGGATCGAGACAACGCGCTGTAGCTAGATCCACAACAACGGCAGCAGCAGCAATAACGGCGATTACAGCTGGTGGCAATAGTATTGGCAACAATCGTAACAACATTGTAAATACAGGAGTGATACTAGAGTTTAATACAAGTGCTTTATGAGCTGTGCGTCGTAAAAGAAGCGCTTAGTAGGGCGTATGTGTCTTGTAAAAGAGAAGTGGAGAGTGCAGAGTAAGGCGCATCGTTAAAATAGCACATTTGGAACCACATGCAGCTATAAAAAACGAGCATTATTCTACATTTCTTATTATGCCGTATTTCCACTGGGCATTAATTGATGAAAATATTTAATGATAAGTTTTGGCATTACAAACAAATCGGTATACTTACGTTCTGTCGACCGCTGTGGTGTAGTGGTAAGCAGTGCGTGCTTTCACTCCGCTGCGCCTCGGTTTAAACCCTGGTCAAAGCAACATCGAAGAAAAAAGGTTTTTTCTTACAGCGGCCGTCCCTCAGCAGGCCATGGTAAACTTCCGAGTGTATTTCTGCCGTGAAAAACAGCTCTCATAAAAATACAATCGCCGTTCGGAGTCGGTGTAAAACTGTAGGTCCCTCCGTGTGACAACATCAAGGCGCACGCCACAAATCGGAGGAGAATCACGGCCAAACACTAACATATGTGTAAGCGCTGATTTATTATTATTATTAACGACGTTACTTTAAATAAAAGTTATTAAGTCTGTTTCGCCATTTTTGTCATTTCACTGCCCAGTGGAAATACGGCATTAGTTTTTGGATTTACTTTTCAAAAGATTCCGCTAGAGCAAACCTTTTTGAACCGTGTTAGCATTCAGTTACAATTAGTGACAATTTAGTTTAAAACTTTATAATGTCTTACGAAAAATCGCTTCGAAATTATAACCACCGAGTACAATTGCAGAATTGGAATTATATACAATATTTCATAGTGCGGCGCTTGGCGAAATGGAAATCCGATTAGTTTTAAAACCACGTGTGTAAAAGAAGTATTACATTTTTGAGCAATAATAAGGGTTTTCTACAAAGAATTTAGCTGTTGCCATTGCAAAAACAGCCACCGGAAAAGAAACTTATGGCACTGAAAAAACCTTGATCTTGTGCTCTTGCTTATGTTATGTATGCATGTCCATACTTTCTATTAGATAACTTCCTTTAACCAGTTTAGTTCCAATTTACACTTTTAGCATTGATAACGGATGACCCCCAAACTTCACTTACGCCTCAGAGCACCAAGAAAGCAACATGGTTGCAATATAGCGGTAATTAGTACGTAGCTCGAATACGCCTTATATCAGGTGAGCAATTGCAACAGTGCTGCAAATTTTCTTCAGTGATGCAGTTATTGCAGATGTACATATTACTATTTTATTATGTGTCTCGAAGCGCTACTTTTCATTTCAAGGACGTCGCCAGCTTGCCCTACCTGCCATAATTTACCAATTAATATTTGGCCACTTTGAAAGGATGTCTTCGTCTTATTCTCAAAGATGTTCTAATTTTTCAAATTAGGGCTTTAAAATGCATTCAGAAGAAATATTTGTAAATTACTTTTATTTGTATATTTTGCTTTTTTTTTCTTTATTCCCAATTAACAGTCAACAGCTATGAACATATCGATGGTCCCAGTAATAACGACACGACTCAAAACTCAAAAACAACAAACAACAAAAAAACCTTCCTATTTTAAAGGGCTTTATGTCTAATCCATGTCTATTCCTTAGACACGTGCGTAGGAAGGTTTTTTTTTAGTTTTGCGTTGTGCGGTTATTGCAAAGACCAATTTTAAGATCTTCACGTTTTCTTTAAAACGCATATAAAACGTGTCTAGCTGTGCTGAGTTTGTTTAAACAAATTTAATAATAATAGCGCATTAATGAAAATGTCGAATATTTTAAATAGACAACTCTTGTCTACCTTTTTAAGTAATTGTGAACTTCCCCGGATGTTGATGGTTAACACGCGACATATTTTAGATATTTTTAACGTAAATATACATGGTATTCTACAACAATTTTATAAGTTCAAAGTAGCAACAATTTGTTTTGTTTAATATTTTAGATAATTTATAATATTTAATTTGTTAAATTGTAATCTGCTGTGTGTATGTGTAGATATATTTGTAGTTTTTATTTTTTGTTTTTTCTCTTATTTAATATTTTAGTTAAAAAAACTTGCACTAATGAAATAATTCAAAAAGCAATACATAAAACTGAATTAGAACAAAATATGAATTGTGAAATTGCACAAATTTTATAAAAAAAAAAAATAAGCAATAACTTCAAGCTTGAAATAGTAAAATACAATGGATAATAAAAAACTTTATGAAAATACAAAGTTCCGCCATTTAATAAACAGTACTGAAAGTGTTATAGCGTTAAAATAATCTCGAATTCTTTGCAACATCACAAACACAAAGTACTTCAGTACCTCAAAACAACCCTAAACTTTTTTAAAGTTTAGTGAAAGCGTTTTACGCTTTCGCGAAAACTCAAAGGGCATTACTTTTAGCTATTCGATTTTAACCGTTTAGGCTACTACAAACACAAAACGACAAACGAACTCGTGCAACTGAATTCTTCAAATCAATGAATGTCTTAAAAACGCTTTAAAGTAAAAATTAGCGAAATTTTATTTAAAATAAAAAGATGCAAAAAATTAAAAATATGCTTATGTAATTATATACTGTAATACTTTAAACACTATCGCCGCAAAATGGCCACAGCTTGTGGACGTTGGCAAACGAATTGGTTGTAAACTACGCAATTATGTTTAGAATGTATGTGGCTTTCGTAAAACAAGTAATAATATTAATAAAAAAAAAACAAACAAAAAATTACAAACTTTGCTACAACAAATTGAATGTCGCTCATTAAACCAAATACATATATGTACAAATAAAGTTGCATATAATACTGTGTAGCAGCAAATGGTACACAATATATTGAAAAACAAAAAACGTTGCCAACCTTGTTAATAAAATGTTCAAAATTTGCAATGCAACAAGGAGTATACTAAGCGAACACCTTAAGCAAACCACTTACCACACAAAAAGTCAATGCTGAGAATTTAAACCAACGACGAAAACAAAGCATAAACATTCGTTATTTTTGTATATAAAATCTAAGTGAAATTATTAGTGAAAATTGTAAGATAGCAGCAACATGCAAAATCTAGATGTGAATTTTTTCCTTTCTAAAATTTATCATAACAATCAGTGTTTATATGTGTATTAAAAACTTTACCAAAACCAAAATATTAAGTAAAAGAACTATTGATAATAATAAACTATATAATATATACTTACATATAAAAAGAGATACAAGACAGCGCCAGTATTGGCGAACGTTGCTGGTACTAATTTGCTTACATATGCATGTACGCTTAGTTCTGTAATGTACATGTAAAACTTTTTTGCATGCATGCGAATAACAATCCAAATATGAGACGCCAATAGGTTGAGTGAGTGTTTGAAACTAATACTTGAGTATAATTTTTTAGTCGAACAAGCAACATTTTCCACAAGTTAATCCATTACGAATGACAAGCGAGTTTAATTTGCACTGCGCGCTCCAGTGGCCGAATTCATAATTACTGATAGTCGCTCAAAAATTCTGGCATCCACAACTTTTTCGCGCTTGATTGTAAACGAACTTCAGTTGAGTTGCCAGTGGCTGAAATGGTATTACGGATGGCAACTGGAACTGCATTTTTGTGGTTGCTGCGGAAATTTTGTTGGAGAATGTATTTTTATTTTTTTAACTCTTTCTGCAGCTTTTTTAAACACGAGCTTTGGTTGGTGGTACTTCATAATTTTATTATGTATCTTTAATTTTATAGCACTAGACTAGTTTCTATTCATAATATACGTTTGCATTTCAGTGGCGTTGCCTATCGACACCTACTCAGGTTGCGTTGCTATCCGTAATCGACGTATTAATTTTAGAGGCAAGCTTAGAGTTACAGTAGTCGAAATAATTACAACCGCACCACATTTTGACAAGTTTTAACATAATATTTTTTGTTGTTGTTTAATTTTGGTAATTTTTTTATCAAAATATAGCTAATTCTTTAACCAAACCCGTGTTTCATACTTTGTGCAATATTCAAAACAAATTCAACACACTTTCGTAAAAATTTCGAGCTTTTTTAATTATATTTCCTAGAAATATTCGTGAGTATACAGCTTTATGGCCCATTGATTTCTAGTAGAATAAAGTACAACTTTCAAAGGACTAAAAATTATGGTTAGTTTTTTTGGTATTTTTTTTTATTTGTTCCATTTGGTATGGAAGAAAAGCGTAACATATTGGAAGAAAATATCTAAAAATCCACAGTAATTTTTAGCCTTTTGAAACTTGTACTTTATGCTACCAAACTCCATCCTCAGAATCTTTCTGGGAAATCTAATTAAAAAATCTCGAAATTTTTACAAAAGTTTGCTGATTTTTTTTTATATTATACGAAGCTTGAAACTTAAACTTAAGCGGGTTTCTTAACAATGAACTATGGTTACATAAAAAAAATAGCCAAAATTTAGTAACAACAAAAATAATATGTTAAAACTTGTCAAAATATGGTGCGGCTATAATTATTTCGACCACTGTAAAAGTGGCTGAGTTTTTTTAGCGTTACATTTTGATGTAGGAAGCAAGGAAAATTAAAACGCTATCCTTTCCAAAAAAATCGAACTTCTTGTTTTATTTCTATTGGTTTTTATTCAATGAATTTGCTAAGTCCCAAAATGCACAAAAAATTTGGTGTCAAAAAAAAAACAAAAAATTTCCATTAAGGTCGAGTTCTACTAGTTCGTATAGTTTTTTGCTTGAGGAAAATATATTTTTCTCTCTTGTAAAATTTGAAAAACTGAAAATAGAAAATTTTCACTCAAAGCTAGCGACTTCCAGTTCTAAAAAATTTCTTTATTCCACCTTTTCTGAAGTGAGGATGAACATAGTTTTAGGTGCAAATTTTTGACAAACAGTCAAGCTTGATTATTTGTCAAGTGCACAGAAATGCGGGGTAAGTTTGAGTCTGTATCCACCGATTGTGAGTACATAATGTAAATGAAGAAGCCTAAATTTATACTACAAATATTTACGGTTTACGAGGAGAAAAAAATGTATCGCTAAACTCGTAAGCCACGAAAGATAAATCTGCCCAACAAAAGATAAGAAATATAAATAGCTACATATGTCCGGGTGCGTACGCAAAAACTTGCAAGGAACTTGTAGAGTTGGGGGAAATTGAGAAACCAAAAACGGGAGTTTATGTTCACACTGTTCTTGAATTAGTTAAAAGTTCACTAAAACGTACGACTAAAACAACAACAACAACTAAAATTGAAAATGCAACTTTGTTCGTTATCACCTACGTAAGCAAAATCCATTTTCACTAAAATCGTATCAGCCTTTTTTGCGAAATATTGACATTCAAGAATTACAAAATTATACAAATTTCAGAAAAAACTTTTGTTCTCATATTTTTTTTTTATATTCCTGTGTGCGCCCCTGAGATCAACGCAGTTTCAGACAGTTGAACAAATTTTACTTTCTTTTTTCCCAAC